GAAACTCAGGAGGACCTGAAGCACTTGCTGCAGAGGGTCAAGGACTGCAGCCTCCAATATGAATTGAGACTCAATAAGAAGACAAAGATTCTCATCACTGGGCCAATTGGCAGCATCAGCATGGATGGTGAGGAGATTGAGATTGTTCACAGCTTTAGTTTGCTTGGCTCCACAGTCAACACTCTTGGCACCAGCAGCCAGGAAATTAAAAGACGTATTGTGATGGAAAAGTTTGCTGTTAGGGACCTCTCCAAAGTACTGAAGAGTAATGGTGTCTCTCTGGAGACTAAGGTGTGTCTGATACAGGCCAGGGTCTTTGCAATCACTTGTTATATGTCGGAGAGTTGGACAATGACTAAGGAGGATAGAAGGAGAATTGATGCCTTTGAGCTGTGGTGCTGGAGAAGAGTATTGAATGTACTATGGACTGCTAAGCAAATGAACAGGTTCATCCTGCAGAGAGTTAAACCAGGTGGCTCCTTGGAGGCAAGGATTCTCAGGCTTTGTCTAACATACTCTGGACATTTTGTAAGGACGGACTGGTCTTTGGAGAGGGAAATCATTCTTGGGAGGGTGGAGGGACAGCACAGGAGAGGAAGGCACTCTGAGGTGGATTGATTCAGTGACTGGGGTAACCGGGATGGGTGTATCGGAGACAGTTTGATTGGCACAAGACAGAGCAGAGTTTAGGGCTGTTGTACATAGGGTCACTATGAGTCGCAAGCAACTCAATGGCACACAACAACAACAACAACAACAACATGAGTAACATGTGACTAGACCGCATATAACAACAGCAACAGTAACAATAACAGCTACAACATATCTACACAGAGAGAGTTATATGTATGTAGTGGCTAGCAAATCTCAGGTCTATGGGTTAGGTTTCAGTAGAAAAGATTCTCCTGACTCACAGAACTGTGGAAGCTGAGAAATCCAAAGTCAGCAGTAAAGGTAGATTGTGGACTAAAGTTCAAACAGCCAGAAGTGATGAGCCAAATGCAAAAGTAATACAACTTTGCCAGATAACCCTATATATTTGATTCAGGTTGATGAAAATCCTTAAGAAATTCCTTCTTTACTATTCATAGTAGACACAATCTTGCACGTGTTATATAAAGTTCCAGCAATGATTATATCAGATCTCATCACTACATAATATCTACCGAACCAGAGAATCAAAGGCAGCCAAATTGGCACACACTCTTAACTAACACAAAGAGTGACATATCTTCAGGTATGCTAAATGATATGCTTGTATTTGAAAAGCAAGATGTTCCTGGGAAACGAAATCCTTGACTTACCTTTAATTAGCAGAAAATTCATTGAAACTCAGACATAATTGCAGCCTAAAAAAAAAAAAAAAAACAAAATAAGACATGTATTTGTTGAACTCTTATTCCTTGAGCCTATGAATAGACCCATTGGGATTTTTCTTTTGTTGTCTGAGAACATTCCAGTAAAGAATGTTTCCCAACCCCAGTCACATGCAGAAACCACCAGGGAGCTCTGGTGGCCATGGCGTTAGAGAGTTATGCTGCCAATCCAATGGCAGGATCTTCAAATCCACCAGCTCCTATGCAAGAGTAAGTTGGCAATCTCCTCTCATGCAATTTACAGTGTCTTAAAAACTGATGGAGTTTTGAGTTATTTCCAACTTAGTGGGAATGGTTTTTGTTTGTTTTTAGGTTACTACTTGTAAATATTAACAAGGAAATACCATTAATGATTGAAACTCTCATTTGACTTTTGGCCTCCAGAATTATGAGAAAATGAATTTCTGTACTTCTCTCATTATCAAAGACAATTCAAGTACTCAGAAGTATGTCATGTCTTAATTTTATCATTGTATTATGTACCATTGAGTTGAAATGAATTACAGCTGACCTTCAAGCAGGTTTTCAAAGCCAGTAAATAGCAGAGGAAGAGATTGCTCATTTTTCCCTTTAGGAATAGCCAGTGGATTCCAACTGTGATCCTTTGGGTTGGAAACACAACTCCTCATCACTAAGCCACCAGACCTCTCCTAATGTCTTCATTTGAGATCTACAAATTACTAAATTTGAAGGCTATGCAGTACATTTGCAGGTTGATGGACCTTTGCAGGATGAGAGTAAATCATAATCCTCTTCTGCCCCCTGTATTTTTTTTTTCCATTCTTGGCCCTTGGTCATGAACACTCTCCTAACCCATCACGCTTGAAGTTTATACGTTAGGTGCTGTCAAGTATGACTCATACAGATCTGAACCCTGCCCTATCCTGCACCATCTTCATTATCCCCAATGTACTTGAGTCCATTGCTGCATTTTATGTACTTCAATAGGGAAGGGCTAGGCATTTAAAACTTAGGCACCTTGGGAGAATGGTCTGGTGATCTACTGAACAATCTGTCCCTGAAAACCACTTTCAACACAATTCCAATCTCTCACACATAGAGTCACAATGAGTCAGTTTGTTCAAGTGCTACAGGAACTATTTTAGATTTCAAAAGTGTTGCATGACTAAACTCACACTGAGTTTCTTTTAGAATAATGCAGTATGTTGTTGAGCATAGCTGACCCTCTGGTGGGTTTTCAGAGTCTGTTAATCAAACAGCAGGAGATGTTGGATTCAAAATGTGTGCCTTTGGGAATGCAGTGCAGCTTCTTACCACTAGGCCACCAGAGCTCCCTGTTGCCTTATGTAATTTTTATATCCAGATTTATCTGTTAAGACATCATCTGTCCCGTTTCATGTGGATTTTTGTTTTTCCCATGAGAGGAGCCCTAGTACTCACTGTGAATGGAAAGGTTAGCTGTTCAAACACATTGGCGAAAGATGTAGCAGTCTGGTCTGAAAAGACTTAAAAATCATACCCCCCCCCAAATAAAACCCCACAAAAATAACAAAAAGCAAACAAACAAATTAGCAAGCAGGACAAAGTAACAAAATTCATTTACATTTGAGTTTTAGGGGAGGAGACCTGGTGGATTCAAACTGCTAACGTTATGAACACGCTGGGCCGTTTTTCATTGTGCGTTCTGTAAAGCCCATTCTCTAAAGGAACAGTTCTGCTCTGTCCCACAGGCTGCTAGGAGTCCAGAGTTATTTGAGGGTTTGGTTTTGGGTTCCCCCCCGCAATATGAGTTCTCAGAAATGTTGCATTTTTTTCTTCACCCATTTCTCTAAATACCCTATCTTGGTTCTACGCATTCATTTTTCTAGTTAATTTTGTTTTGTTTTCACAAGCACAATTTCTTTTTCTGTAGGCAGTTCAACATACTAAAAAGTGCTCTTTTCTACTGATTTTGGCCAGTTCCTCAGATCGCTCTTCCTAGTTTTACTCTTGATGCTCCCTTCTGAGTATTTCTCAGGAATTCTGTGGCTTCTTACCTTTTCACTCTAAATACTCTGCTTCTACAACATGTTCTCTCAGATTTGACGAGTAGTACCTATCCTTGATTTAGGGGTCAGGGCCAAATACCTTCTGAGCTGCCCCAGTCCTCATCAAGAACCGTCAGGGTTCTGTGGCTTCTTACCTTTTCACTCTAAATACTCTGCTTCTACAACATGTTCTCTCAGATTTGACGAATAGTACCTATCCTTGATTTAGGGGTCAGGGCCAAATACCTTCTGAGCTGCCCCAGTCCTCATCAAGAACCGTCAGGGTTAGCGAGCTCTGGTGGCCTAGTGGCAAGAAGATGTACTGCAATCCCAGAGGTGAGCAGTTCAAATCCACCAGATTCTCTGCTGGAGAAGGAGGGACAATCTCCTCCTGTACCAGTCAGATCCAATTTGATGGTACACACACAGAAAAAAAGAAAAAAAAAGAACCGTCAGGGCATGCCCCCTTGTGCCTCTTACAGCGACCCTAAGAGGGCAAGATGGCACCATTTAAGTTTCCACTTGCCCAGGAAAGAGGCATGCATGTCCTCCGAGCCTCCACGTCTATGCTGAATTAGAATAGGCACCTCACCTTTTGTGGCTGCTCAATCTCTGTGTACTTGAAGCCTTCAGTTCTCCAGTTCCTATGGAAACACAGACCACACCATCTCTCCTCTGCAGGACGCCTCTCATGTCCCCTCACTCTACAGCACAATTATCCTTATACACTAAAGGTCTGCCCCAGGAAAACCCATCCAAGAGAAGCTCAAGGAGGTGGATTTGAGGCCTGGACGCAATAAGGATAGATTTTGTGTCACTCAGGACTTAGAGTGGACGCCCCTCTGCTCCATCCACTTGTGGTGGTCGGGGGCGGGGAAGGGGCGGGATTGAGCCCCTGTTCCCCCTCCTCCTCACTGCGGAAAGCTGGAGAGTAAGAAGCACTCACTTCCTATTCAGCAGTGAGCAGGGAGAAAGCCTCAAAGTAGCCACGTAGGCATTCTCTTCTCTCTGGAGGAAAAGGCCCAGCATCTGTTGGAGGAAAAGGCCCACCAGCTGTTGGAGCAAATGGACATGTCGCAGCTAAGTAAGAATCTGGGTGATTCGAGTCCTCCTGCCGAGGGCCCGAAGCCCCCGGTCTACAGCCGCCCTACAGTTCTGATGCGGGCGCCGCCTGCATCCTCCCGGGGCCCGCCAATCCCATGGGATCCGCCTTCTATTGATTTGCAGAGTTCACTGGCCCCTTGGCAGGCACCTCAGCCTACCTGGGAGGGCATGCAGGGCCAACCGCCGGCTCCAGTGGCTTCAATAGCCCAACCTCCGGCCATTGGAACCCAGATGGTCCAGCCTCCTGCTCTCGGAGGCCCGATGGGAAAACCTCCTACTCGTGGAGTCTTAGTGGTCCATCCTTCTCGCACTCCGGGAGTCCCAATGGCCCAGGCTCCAGCTCCCGGAGTTCTTATGGTTCATCATTCAACTCCAGGAACCTCTATAGTGCATCCACCCCCGCCTGGGACCTCGATGGCCAAAACGCCCGCTCCGGGGACCCCAATAGTGCATCCTCCCCCTCCGGGGACTCCGATGACCCACACGCCCGCTCCGGGGACCCCGATGGTGCGTCCTCCCCCTGTGGGGACCGCGATGGCCCATACACCCGCTCCAGGGACCCCGATGATGCATCCTCCCCCTCCGGGGACACCGATGGTCCAGTCTCCAGCACCAGGAGTCCTGATGGCCCAGCCTTTGAACCCAGGAGTCCTTATGGTCCAGCCTCCAGCAACAGGAGCGCCAATGGCCCAACCACCACCTCCAGGAGCCTTGATAACACAGCCTGCACCTCCTGTAGTACCAATGGCCAAACCTCCAGGTCCCAGTGTCCTGATGATCCAACCTGCTGGGCCGCGCGCTCCAGTCAGCCAGCCACCAGCTTCAGGACCCCCGATGGCTCAGCCAGTGGCCACACCTGTGCAGCCTATGGCTTCCTGGGCCCCACAGTCTCAGCCTCTTATCCTGAAAATCCAGTCTCAGGTTATAAGGCCCCCCTCACAGGTTCCACAGAGCCCACAGGCCCCACTGGCTACACCTCCAGGCTGGCAGGCTCCTCCACAAGGCTGGCAAGGCAAAACCCTGACCTGGCAGACCCCAGCGATTGCCTGGCAGGCGGCCCGGCCTGTGCGCCAGAGCCCCCCTCCCATTCGACCTGGCCCGCCACCCATAAGGCCAGGCCCACCCCCGATCCGCCAGGCGCCTCCGCTGATGCGCCAGGGGCCGCCACCCATCCGGCCAGCTCCACAGGTCTTAGCAACTGCACCCACTCTGTGGCAGACCCTGCCGCCCCCGCCGCCTCTGCGGCAAGCCCCGCAGACCAGGCTTCCCGCCGCACAGGTGCAGGCTGCCCCACAGGGGGTGAGCACCCTGCCTGCGCACGTGTCCTCCGCGCCACCTGCTGGCCCGCAGGCACCCCAGACTCAACCTGCTGCTCCTCAGATGGCTCACTGCCCGCACATAATTTGGCAAGCTCCCAACGGCCAAGCCCCGGTGCCACAAGCTCTGCCAATGTCTATGGAGTTCCAGGATGTACAACAGGTCCAGGCACTGGCTTGGCAGGCCCCCAAAGGCCTAACCCACTTCTGGCAAGCCGTGCCTGTCCAAGAGGCCCAAAGGCAGGGCCCTGTGCAGGTCCAGCTGGAGCCGCCCTTTAAGGTGGCTCTGCCTGCTCAGAAAATGGTGCCAATCCAGCTACCCAGCCAACAGGCCCAGCCCTCGGGCCTGCAAGCAGAGCTGTCACCGCCGCAGCTCCAGCCCTCCTGGCAGACCCCTCCTGGAGCCATGCAGGTACAGCCAGCAACCTCCTTAGAGGCGGCACGTTTTCACCAGGGCGCTGCTAAGCCACAGATGACTCCTGCACCCAAGACCTCCTCGAAGGAACAGAGCACCTCTTCAAAGGATCACAAGGCTCCTGCAAAGGAACGCATGATCTTCGCGGCCACTTTTTGTGCCACAAAAGGTGTTTCACCTGCCCGAGACCAACTGCCAACTACCTGGAAAAATTTTCCTGCCACACCCTTGGACTTTACTGCCACCTCAGTGGTCTCTCCAACTAACTCCCAGGTCCACCCTGCTTCTTATATTGCCTTTAAAGGTCCACCTGCCACCTCAGAGGCCCCGAAGCCACTGGCATTTGCTCTGCAGGATTCATTTGTCTGTGTAGAAGCCTTGCCTGCTGTTTCCTGGGTTCCTCAGCCCAACCCCAATGCCTCAAAAACACCTAATGGAGTGCCTACCTTTCTGATGGATGAGGCAGCTCCCCCAGTAGCAACCTCCACCAATGATGGGGCCTCCGAGACCTTCCAGCCATGCCCCTCAGGCAAAGTCATCTGTAAGAAGCAGCACCTGAGTGTCCGAGGAAACAACAGTGGTCACATGTTGGCCCTAAATGATCAGCAGGCCTCACAGCCCTGGGACAATGTGAACTCAATTGACTGGGAAGGCCAGAACTCCTCCGTCCATGTCCCGGGTGACTGGAGGAGCCTGAATACTTACAGGGACCTAAGTGGCTGGGAGGGTCCTTATACCTCCAGGATCCTGAGTGGCTGGGAAGGATCTGACACCTCCTGGGCTTTGAGTGCCTGGGAGTATCCAGGTACTTTCAGGGTCTTGGATGTCTGTGATAGTTCAGGGAACTCTGAGCCTGTGATCTTTTCTGAAGTCTCAAACCTCTCTCAGGAGGAAAGTACCACCCAGAATGAACCTAAACTGGAGACCCAGCCATTGTCTCCCTTGCATGAGAGAGCAGATGCCTTGGTGCATTTCCTCTTGGTCAAGGAGCAAGCCAAGGTGCCCATCAAGCACTCAGAGATGGTGAAAGTCATCATCCGAGAATATAAAAATGAGTGCTTGGATATTATCAACCAAGCTAACCATAAACTTGAGTGTGCCTTTTGTTATCAATTGAAGGAAATTGATCCTAAGAACCACTCTTATATTATCAACAAGCTGAGCCTTAGTGAAGAGGAGCCAATGGCATCATATTTAGACAGGCCCAAGTTTGGCCTTCTGATGGTGGTTCTGAGTCTTATTTTTATGAGAGGCAATTGTGTCAGGGAGCATCTTGTCTTTGATTTTCTGTCCAAGCTAGGGTTGGATATCCAAGAGACACATGGTCTCTTTGGAAATACAAAGAAGCTCATCACTGAGGTGTTTGTCAGACAGAAGTACCTACAGTACAGGCAAATCCCCCAGACTAAGCCTGCAGAATATGAGTTCCTTTGGGGTCCTAGAGCATTTTTGGAAACCAGTAAGATGCTTGTTCTGAGGTTTGTGGCTAGGCTGCATAAGAGAGATCCACAGTGTTGGCCATTCCATTACCTGGAAGCGCTAGCTGAATGTGAATCTGAAGATCTGGAAGATGATGACCGTGGAGCTGGTGAGAATTCCAGTGGCCCCAGCAGCAGGTCCCCTCCCTGCTAATGAGATGTAGCTGAGATTCTTTTTACACCCCCATCCCAAAGGCACTGACAAATTTGGAGTATATTTTGTTTCTGGTGGTTATGCTCCAGTTTGATGTGTCTAATTTGGTTTTTCAATTTGGCTTTGTAACCTCTAAAGTTTCTATAATTTAATGTGGTATTAATTTGGTAATTTTTTCTTCTATTTTTTAAGTGAGATCTGTGATTTCTTGTTTAATGTTATTATTGTTATGTTTTGGTGTCAGAGTTGTACCGGCTTTGTGAAATGAATTGAAAAATTATCCATCTCATGAGGGTATAGGCTATGTAGTTTTTAAATAGGCTGTTCTTTGAAAGTAAAAATGGCTCACTAGTAAGGTCTGTCTGCAGAAAATAAATGTATCTATATCCTTTCAACATAACACTGGAGTCTCTTGTCTTTATTCTAATTTGTAGCTATGATTTTCTATATACAGTAAATACACATGAATATCAATAGAATTATAAGTGATAGTTTAAAAATGCAGGGATGAAGCTGTTTCCGAGGAGAGAGAGGTAAGATTTTCTTGTAATAATGAGAAATGAAATAAAAGGCTCCCATTAAACTAATCATAAATTTGGTTTACATAATTCACAGAAAATTTGGTTAAGTCTGTGAGGCTGGAGTAAGAATGGTTTAAATACTTCATCTAATTAAATCCTCAAATTCAGCATTCAAAGTAAGAAATATCTAATATATTTTGTAGGTTGTTGTACATAACCTACCTGTATGCAGAGCAGATTATCCGAGAGGCTGGGCTCTATGAGGAGATGCATGGCGTTAGCATTGGTGGAAGATCTATCAACAATCTGCGTTATGCAGATGACACAACCTTGCTCGCTGAAACTGAGGAGGACCTCATGCACTTAGGGCAGAGGGTCAAGTACTGCAGCCTTCAGTATGGACTGAGGCTCAGTGTCAAGAAGACAAAGATTCTCACCACTGGACCAACTGGTAGCATCAGGATGGATGGTGAAGAGATTGAGATTGTCCACAGCTTCAGTTTGCTCAGCTCCACAGTCAACACTCTTGGCACCAGCAGTCAGGAAATAAAAAAAAGTATTGCAATGGGAAAGTCTGATGTTAGGGGCCTCTCTAAAGTACTCAAGAGCCACGATGTGTCTCTGGAGACTAAGTTGCGCCTGATACAGGCCATGGTATTTGCATTCGCTTGTTATGCATCAGAGAGTTGGACAATGACTAGGGAGGACAGAAGGAGAATTGACGCCTTTAAGCTGTGGTGCTGGAGAAGAGTATTGAATGTATCATGGACTGCCAAGAAAACAAACAGATTCATCCTAGAGAGGGTTAAGCCAGGCTACTCCTTGGAGGCAAAGATTCTGGGGCTTTGTCTGACATACTTTGGACATGTTGCAAGGAGAAACAGGTCTTTGGAGAGGGACATCATGCTGAGTAGAGTAGAGGGACAGCGCAGGAGGGGAAGACCCTCTATGAGGTGGATTGATTCAGTGACTGGGGCACTCAGGATGGGTGTATCAGAGGCAATGCGATTGGCACAGGATTTAGCAGGGTTTAGGGCTGTTATACATAGGGTCGCTATGAGTCGCAAACGACTCGACGGCACATAACAACAACATTTTGTAGGTGAAAATCTAAGGCTCAAGAGCATGGATTTTAATGTATGTGTTCATTCTTAGTAAGTTACAAAATTAAGGTTAGGTGGAGAAGGAGGGCCTTCTACCAATGGGGTAATAGTATCCAGATGTGTTACTTTTATGAAGTAGTTGGTTGACTGTACGGAGACCTAAGGAGAATGTCCAATAACTCAGTAATATATAGTTTCAAAGGAGAACTGGGGACCTGGAATTTGGACTTAAGGTCTTGTCAGTGTTGATATTGCTGTAAAAAAAGTTCCTTGCAAAAATACCCAGCCTCTGACAACCATCTGGAACTAGGGATACATTGTGGGGTGGCCTGGGGAGAAGAAAATGTGCAACAATGAATGAAATAAATTTTTTAAATTTAGAATAAAAATAGAGACATTTAAAAAACAGATAATTTTTTAAAATGCCCAGCGTTATAAAGGGGAGGAGATGATAAAGCAGGCTTCAATTAACCTGCAAATTATAGCTGGATTCTTTCTAGTTACATAAAGGAGAAATCTTGGGAGCAGGGGCGAGAGTAATGTCAACACTCTTATATTGGATTAGTCATCTGACCAGGAAGCAGTGGTTGAAGTTGCTAAGTAACCCTAAGCCTCATGTGCTCTGCCTTTGGGTATGGGAGTGCCACACTGTATTTTCTGGAAGGAAGTCCCTGCACACATCAGGCCGATTTATAGAAAAGAACTAGTGTCCTCATGGGGATGTGGAGCATCATCACCCCACTATCTAGCTAGATCTATCAGGAAACCTGACCCTAAATTCAACATCCTAGATTTGTTGGCTGTGGTCAATGAAGCTGGAGGGTTTGATCTCTTAGATACTAACCTGCTGCTTACCTCATAACTTGTCTATAATTGTACCTATATCTATGATGAAAGGTTCCTTCTTTTCTCTTAATCAGACAAAAGTGAAAAAAAAATGTCTCCTTCCTATCTAAGCATGACCATGTTTCTGCCCATGTTTCTATAGCCACTACTCCCTAGAAAGCTAACTTCCTTAAACAGGACTTGAGCTCACAGTATAATGTTCATTCTGGCCCCTCTAATCCTCTTTTCCTTCCCCTGTGACCTACCTTGCTGTACAATGCCATCATGTAGTCGGCAAGTGGCTAGGCACTCCAAAAAGTTGCAAAGTGTTTCTTGTAGACTCCTTGGATTCAAAGGTCTTTAAAATCTACACAACAGGACCCCTAGTTTCACAGTGAAAAACACTTTATGATATTTACCTGAAACAAAGTCATCCAAGTTTTCAATTAGTCTTATTCTAAGTCATTCCTCCAGCGAAGAAGCCAGCAAATAGGTGTTGAACCTCTGTAAGATCCATCCCACTGGGCACATTGGCCAAATGTTAATTTATCTACTGTCACTAGATTTGAAAGGATACAGGCATTCCACATTCTCCTGTATCTACTTAACAATCTGAAAATCCTTTCATGTAATCTTGTCATGCCAATCTGAACACCTTGTATTGTTGGTGAACTTCCCGCCAGGGACCTGCGAATGCCTTTGAAGTGGTTTCTTTACCTTCCTGAACAGACCTCTACATGGAAGCCTCAGTGGTATGTACCATGGTTACACAGACATGCAAACCTTGTCAAGTCTCTGCTTGTTTAAAACATATGATGGCTCCCAATATTCCTCAGAATACTTCGCATGTAACCCCCTCCAGCTGACTTTCCTTATCACTGGAATCAAGGGGAAGCCTTTACAGGTGTGCTGACATGCAAGTTCACAAATGAAGTCAGTAGTCCTCCTGTTGGATGATTGCGAGAACCCCTCTGTTCTGTGCTGAAAACCTGGGCATACCAAGAAAAGGTCTAAGAACCAAGAGATTAACATTTATGCTTTCTGAGATGTCATCAACCCAGAAAATCTGCTAGAGACAGAAAAGAAATTATTTTTTCGGATAATCTGGTTTCTCCAGAGAGCAGCTTTGGGAAAGTAAGGTAAGAACAGATCCAATCTCAAGCATGAAACAACATTTTCACAGGTGCAATTGATTTCTTTCTTCCAAATCTCTAGATAAGCTCCAGGGTAGATTCCATTAAAAGCTAGGAATGGTAGTAGCTCATAATCCCAATCCCCTGACTCGTTAAATTCTATAAAGTTTATACCGGACTCTTTCTATTTAAAAGACTAAGCCCATGAGGAACTTCCTTCATTACCAATCTCTTCCTCTTTGGTTGGCGCTTCTAATTGGACCAAAGAGCTTTGGTGGCACTGTCAACCCAAAGGCTTATGGTTCAAATCCACCAGCTGGTCCATGCGAGAGAGATGCCAATCAACTTCTGTGTGATTGACAGTTGCTGGGTCAGTTAATAGTTGGTTCCGAAACTTGATGGAGCATTATAACAATAGTTAATTGCACATCCATTGTTTACTGCAGCTTTGTTCACAATAGCAAAGAGCTGGAAACAACCCAAGTGCCCATTAACAAAGGAATGGCTAGAGAAGCTCTGGTATACACAATGGAATAATATGCAGCATTGAAAAACAAGGAACTCATGAAATATTATTTAAAATGGATAACCCTAGAGGACATTATCCTGAGTGAAATATTTCAGTCACAAAAGGACAAATATTGCATAGGGCCACTGTTGTAAAACAGGACTGACAACTGGGTTGAGGGAAGACAGAAAATGAGGGGATTTATGATGTATAATGCATTGAAACAGTTGAGGGAGAGAACTGTTTCAAAGGGATATATGATTAGGTATTATTGTCAGTACAGGAGTCCAGAATAAAGGCTGCACAGTGGAGTGGACTTGGGGGTTGGGATTGCATAACAATGAAAGAGTTTTTCTTTTACTTTTCAAGGAGAAGAGTGAATTGGGAGTGGGGAGGAGTGGACAGGGAGAAAAGCACAACAATGAATAAATGAAAACTCTAAGCCTTTGTAAATTTTCATTAAAATTAATTTAAAAAACCACCCAAAACCAAAACCAACAATAACTAAATAGATAATCCTTGGCTGTGTTGAGATGCCGTTCTCAAGGAAAATGCTCTGGCTCCAATTGCTGCAAGTTCATCTCCCAGGGGTTCCTGTTTCATAGATTGTCATTTCTCAGAGTGAATTCACCTTGAGAACCACAATTAAGAATTGGTGTGTCCAGTCAGCCCCAAATAAACATAGAAACATTTTCTAAGCCTTGTGGGCTTCCTAGAGCATGGTGGTTCAGAATTTTCCCCTGAAATGGGGCTGGCCAGTTCTACAAAACTAAAGAATCTGAATATTCAATTACCATCTCCACCCCCAAGTGTCTGTGCGATTGAATACTTTTAGAGACAAATAAATATATATTAATAGGAAGGTACTAGTTTCCCTAAATGTTTGTCTCTTACATAAATATTAAAATAT